GATCTAGGTATATGGTTAAACAGCCACGGACAGTGAGGGAGTGTGTGAGATATTTTAGAAGTCTGTATGATTTAGAAAGAAGATGGAACATTTTCCAGCTGAGGTTGCTTTTAGAAGAGCCAGACAAAGTCTCCTTCAGTGCTGTGGTTTCATCCTTTACTCCCCGCAGGTAAATGGCTGGCAAGGCTGGGCGCCAGGTGTGCGGAGGGAACCAGAGGGAGGGACTGTGTGCAGGTCTGTGTGTGTCTCCACTGCTTTGCACCCCATTTTGTCTTTTCCCTCGCAGACAACACACTGCTACCCCTTTTTACTGTTAAATTATAGTCCATTGTGCAGGTACGCCACAGGTTACTTCTTTGACACTCTGTTGATGGATATGTGGGTTGTTTTTAACAATCTTCTATTGGAAACAATGCTACTGTTGACACCAGACACAGATGCACACATGCAGAAGCTGTGATGTTCGTGTGAGCTGAACACACAGGAAAGTTAGCATTTCACATCAGGGAAAGCGGTGAGTATCCACGAATGGCTTAGAAATGCCTGGTGAGCCATGTGGGCAAAATAAGCAGAAGTCTTAAATCCCACATGTATTAAATATTTAATATAAAGAATTAAAATATAAAATTATCCAGAAGAAATATGGAAGCTTTTGTAAGTTTTAGAGCAGGATGGACTTTCTAACAGAAGCTATAAAGAAAAGAATGAAAAATCTGTTCATATGGAAAAAGTGAAACTTCATGGAAATACATGGGAAAAAATCTCACTGAAATGCAAATAGCAAACAGCCGTGTGTGTATGTGTGTGTGCATGTGTGTGGTGAGGGTGGGGGCACATTTGTAAGACCATGAAGGACTGCTATACAAAGAGGTCTCAAACTTACATCTCTGCACACATGTCTCCGCGTCTGTGGTGTAAATTCCAATAGTGCGACTCTGAAGTCAAAGGACGTATTCCTGTTGAATTGACAGGTATTTCCACATTTACCCTCTGGGACGCAGCACCAATTTGCGTTCCTACTAACCACATGTGAGTAAGTAGTCACTAACACCGCTATGTAACGTGAAACAGTTTGACCTTTGACGGTCTGATAGGTGAGAACACATCTCACTTTGTTTTGCTAACTTCAATACAGTTGAGCATTGAGGAATATCTATAAGCCTTTTTAGTTCCATTTATATCCATAGCACCTTTTTTCTGATGAGTCATTGAACACTTCCTTACTGGTATTACCTCTTTGTATAGCAGCCCTTCATGGTCTTACAAATGTGCCCCCACCCTCACCACACACATGCACACACACATACACACACGGCTGTTTGCTATTTGCATTTCAGTGAGATTTTTTCCCATGTATTTCCATGAAGTTTCACTTTTTCCATATGAACAGATTTTTCATTCTTTTCTTTATGGCTTCTGTTAGAAACTCCATCCTGCTTTAAAACTTACAAAAGCTTCCATATTTCCAAAGGAGAGTTTTCTCCCCTCTCCTCCCCCACTTCCCCCAAATAAATAATAAAATATTAAAAAAAAAAAAAAGCTTCCATATTTCTTCTGGATAATTTTATATTTTAATTCTTTATATTAAATATTTAATACATGTGGGATTTAAGACTTCTGCTTATTTTGCCCACATGGCTCACCAGGCATTTCTAAGCCATTCGTGGATACTCACCGCTTTCCCTGATGTGAAATGCTAACTTTCCTGTGTGTTCAGCTCACACAAACGTCACAGCTTGTGCATGTGTGCATCTGTGTCTGGTGTCAACAGTAGACACACAGTGTGTTTTACATAAAAAGATCCTTTCCTGCTTTTCTTTTTTTCATATTTTATTTATTTATTTTTAGAGAGAGGGGACAGGAAGGAGAAAGAGCAGGAGAGAAACATCAATGTGTGGTTGCCTCTCATGTGTCCCCCACTGGGGACCTGGTCCTCAATGCAAGCATGTGCCCTGACTGGGAATCAAACCAGTGACCCTTTGCTTCACAAGCCTGTGCTCCATCCACTGAGCCACACCAACCAGGCCCTTTCCTGCTTTTCTTTTTCAGATTTTCCTGCTGGTGTTCTCTGTGCTTTACTAGCTTGAAATGATCTTCTCCCCCGCCAATTCCCCATTTAGTTACTAATCTTAGGCAAGTTTCTGAACTCCTGGGCTTCAGCATCACCGTAAAACCGGTAGCAATGGCCCTGGGGCGAGTTTGGGTTATTGCTACGTCTGAAAAGCATGAGTCCTAAAAAGGAAGAATTGCGAATTTAAGTCTGGGAAGGAAACCACAGTGTTCACCAGGAATAAGAATTGAGTAGAGGGAAATTCCCTACCCTGGCTCCAGGTTCAAACTCTGTTTGCTGAGATAAGTCCTGCACTTTCCTCTGTTGACTTTGGCATTCCCTGGGCCCAACCCCATCGCACACTTAGCCGAAGAGAGTAAGTGAGGAACACGGCAAGGGCAGGGACCCGGCTTGGCTCTCCCGAAAGACGTCTCAACTGCGAGAAGTTCCACCCTGTTTCTAAAGAACACAGATTTCTGAAATATCAGATGCACACTCCCCTTGGCTCTTGTTTCAAGCCTATAAATCCCCTGGTGCTACGTAGTTTTATATCTAACCATTCTCCATGCTTTAAGGGAAACTCAGTGTATAATTTGGGGGGGGGGGGGCTTTGTGTGTGGTATAGGAAACCATTTCTACTGAGAAATGGACATATAAAATATTATTACCGGTCAGGCTACAAATATTCAGAAGAGGCCAGGGGATTATCACTGTAGACTTCTGTGACCACATTGGTAAGATTTGGCCCGTGTGATGAAGGCCTGTTTGTTTGAATAACCCAATTCCTTGTTCATTCAACAACCACTAAGCATCCAGCGCTTGCGGAGCACTGAGCTAGGCATTGGCTGTGTAACGATGAATAAGATGAAGGTCCCTCCCTCACTGAGCCCCTCGATTGGTGGATAAAGGCACACACAGGGACACTTGTAATAGTGTGAGATAACGTGGCAATACATATGAAAGAGATTTCATTGGGCATATGCATTGAGAAGTTCCACTTCTAAGAATTAAAAAATAATGTTTAGACGAGTGAACAAAGCGACTGATTTCAATAGTAATGATAAACACCAGAAAAGGGATACAACCAAACTACCTAAACATTCAGCAGCGGAGACAATTAAGTGACTACACCACAGCAAAATCGCAAACGCTATGAGTCCCTTGCCAGAGAAAAGACAGCGCAGCTCAACAGGTGTGGCCATGCCGTGGAGGACTGTTCCCGACCCTTTCACTAAAAACCGAAGTCACAGTGAGGGTCACATGACTCTCTGTGTGTAAGCAGAACGTACAGAGAAAAGAAACTTCCAGAAGGACAGACATCCGAGTGTTCAAGAGGAGTTCACATTTGACTGGCTATGTGGTTACAGATGACTTTCATATTCTCACATAACAACACACTGTGATAAATACACGTTAATGTGAATGAATATTGTATTTCACATTCACATAAACACTTGACGAGGACATTTTTGGTCAGGACAGGAGTTCACGAAGACACAGGCGGTGGGTGCAGGGCCCCTGGCCCGGTGGCCGTGCTCCCCTCACTCGCACCCAGGAGTGGGGCACCCATGGGTCCCGCCTGAATGGCCCCCCGGGGAGGCAAAGCCAACTGGAAGAGCTTCCTGCTCTCAGGGTGCAGTGAGGACAGAGGGCAGCCCCAGCCAGGGGGTGAAGAAGGCGGGCCAGGGGTGCTCAGAGTGACCCCGGAGTCGTGCCCTAAGGGATGAGTAGGAGCTTTCTAGCTGGGACGGGAGGGGCTGGGAAGATGGTCCAGGCAGAGCAACCAGACCAGAGCCGCAACCAGGAGATCCGGGCTTTTGTGGAATATTCCTGCCCTTTAACTTCGCAATTCTCCTTTCCAAAATTTATTCTAAAGAATGAATGTAAAGGTTTGAATTCTGTGAGTGAGGCATTGCCGAATTATTTATAATAGGGAAAGAATCCACAGTCTAAAAGTTCAGTCTTAAGAGGTGCACTCAATACAGCACAAAACCTTTGTGCTGTGAAATACTAAACTAGGCAGCAATGCAAAAGCACGTGTGAGAACCGGTTCACCCGTGGACCAGGTGCAGCAGCCCTGCTGCGAGAACCCTGAACCTGTGCTTCCCTGCGTGGCCGCCGACCAGGGTTTATCACTAGGACTTGCCTTCTTGTCCTGTCTTCAGAGGGACTGCCGCCCCTTTGCAGCCACTTGTCTGACACAACACCTTGCACCTAACACAACACAATAGGTCCCTGATAAAGGTCGGTGCAATGAATCTAGATCTGCCTAGAAAGAAGACTAAAGGAATATGTGCCAAAGGGTTAAGAAAGCTTTTTTTCTGGATATTCAAACACTCTCCTTCTTTATACTGTTTTTGCACACTGCAAATTTTCTCCAGGGGACTGGATATAATTTTGTAATCAGAAGAGAACAGCATACTGTATTTAAAAAATTGTAGCTCAGAGCCTGCCGTGAAGTGTTCTGAGTATGAGAATCCTTCCTGGCTCTGCCCTGCTCCATGAAGCTGCTCCCCACAAGTCAGACATCACACAGGCTGAGAGGAGATTGTTCTCAACGCCAAAGATCTGGGGCGGGGGGTTCTTGTTTATGCCTTGACCACAACCTTGGCATCAGGACAATGTTCCAACCAGCTTTTTTAAAAATTCAAATTACTGGCCTCCTACTCCAAAATTCTGACTCATGGGTCCATGGGAAAATTCTTGTAGACAGCTATTTTATTTTTTTAATGCTTTCCAAGTGACCTGAAGCATATCCCCAACTCACAATGACATCACCAGCTGTCAGATGGCCACTGACAGTCCCCTGTGGCCAGACAGGTCCCGTGTCAAGAAAGAGCCTGTTCTCCAGGAAACAAACTTGAGAAATAGGTGCCCCAGTACCTCCGGGGGGCGGGGTTTGCAGGCCTTTTTCCTCAGGCTCTTTCTCTGCACCCCGGGAAGACTTTAGCCTCACTTCCTGACCGTACAGCCTCACCTGCGCTGCGTGAGAGCCTGAGCCCGGGCGACAGGCAGGAATGCAGCAGGCGGGACTGGCTCTCGCGGCCTTGGCTGCCTGTGTCGCTCTTTACCCTTCAGAAGGTAAGTGGGGGTGCCTGCTTCTCAGCCTCCAGGGGAAGTGGGGGGCCTGCCTCCCAAGGTGAGGCGGGGCTGCTAGCAATTTGGAGCAGGAATTTCAGTCTTCAGATAGGAGTTAACAGTGACTTACAGGATAATGGCAAAAGTTTAAATTCCTGATCTCCAGGCATTTTTGGGAAGGGACCTCATCTGAACAGAAGTACCAGTGATTCGCTGCCTGGTTGACGAGTTCCTTCTGTAGGGGTGCGAGTTTGGGCTGTGTTTCCTTTTCTGGTGGCAGCAACTTAGACACCCCCGGGAGAGGTAGGGCGGGAGGCTCTGTGATGCATCTGTCTCCCCTCGCCCTAACCCGCTGAACTGACTGGACACGGGTGTGCACGCTCCTGGAAGAAAGACGGACTTGACCTTCTGGGTTGGGGTTGGGTAAATGGCAAGTTTTCTGGACAAAGTCAGCCCTTTGGCTACTGAAAACCTGAACTTCCATCCGACCTTAAAAAGAGGTGCAGGATATAGGAGACTGACCTGTACAAATTGCATCACAGAGAACGAAACTTGTGAGCTGCCAATATTCACTGTAACTGCATGTGGGCCCGAGGAAGCTTCCTGCTTATTCAGAAAACCCTGAACTCAGGGGCGTAACACCAAACTGAGTCGACTCTTTCCTCCCCATCTTTTTTTCTAAAACTTTACCCTGAAAAGGTTCTCTAAATCCAGAACAGAGATGAAATATTGGTCTGCTTTTTTTAAAAAATTTAAGCCGACTTTTAAACACAGACCAATTTCACAATCACCTACTCACACAAACACATGTACAAATTGGAGTTTAAATCTGCTCTTGAGAAAGCGGGTCTGGCAGCCACGGTCCCAGGTACTGGGTGGGGACCGTCGGGAGCAGACCAGCCTTGGCGCCTCTCTGGAGCCGCTGGCATCCCCAGAACTGCCTAGGGCCCGAGGCGTTTGTGTAGGGGCCAGGGTGGTGTACCAGGGACCTGGGTTTATATTACCGAACCCGGGAAAAATCTGGAAATCTCTTCCATTTAAAACATAAAATGGATTTCTGTCAATCCATTAGATCAAGACAGAGAACAGAGTATTTCATTTTATGTTTCTGTAATATTCTTTAGAAAAATTCACCATTGGAATTTTAGGACTCACTTTCACTGTTTCTCAAAGGTCTACCTGCTAAGGCTTTATCTAAACTAGGGCCTTTTGGCAACGCAAATCCACCTGCCTGCAGGACCAGGAGGTGGGGCAGGGAAGGGAGGGCGGAGGGGCAGGCAGTGGAGGAGGTCCTGCCAGGTCCCGGGCCAAGTTCCTGGGACTGAGTCCAGGCTGAGACAGGGGCCAGCCAACAGATTCCTCCTTGTTTGGAAAAGAACAGTCAGTGATGAAGGAGAGAAAGGGAGCTGAGGAGACCCAACCATAGTCTTTTGGGTTAGTTTTGGGGCTTTTCCTAAGGCCCTTTGGGCCAGAGGAACTTTACATTATGTGAGAAGACCCAACTCTCCACCCTTTAGAAAATGAGTGCTTTGGGGTTAAAATGCATGAGAATAGGCCTGAGCACAGCTGTGGAAGTGAGAGGGCCACCCTCTGCTGTCCCCAGCAGACTCTCAGTGTCTGTGTTCCAGGACCCTGGGGAGGCTCTTGGGGACCCCAGCTGGATAGGGCTGGGGACCAGACAGAGTGGGGAGGGAGGCCGGGAAGACCGAGAAGTGCAGGGAAAGAAGGGCAGGTGACCTTGATCATTGTTGCAGGCCAGGGGAGGGAATAGGGAAGTGGTCTGTGCCAGTTCGGGACTCTGGGAAATACATTTTGTCCTTCCAGGTATTGACAGTTCAGTTTTCTTACTGGTCCCTGCAGTGACCACCTGGATAGGGTAGCCAGCAGAGACTGGCATTCCCAAAGTGTTCTGCACAAATTAGGAAGCAGCAAACAAAAGCCTTGGAGTCTGCCCATAGGAAAGAGGGCACACAACCCCCCTGCTGGCATGGCGACTGGCTCCCAGAACTCAATATCAAGACCATAAAAAAGTCTATCATCCACTCCCTGCGGCCCTGAGCCAGACTTAAAAGCCGCACGCAGGGTTGTCCAAACTTTTGGCATCTCTGGGCCCCACTGGAAGAAGAAGAGTTTTGGGGGGCCACACATTAAATACATTGCAACACATAATCACAAAACAAAATCTCATAATGTTTTAAGTAAGTTTACGATTTTGTGTCGGGCGGTGTTCACAGCCATCCTGGGCTGCATGCGGCCTGCCTGTCACAGGCTGGACAGCCCTGGTGGGGCTTCGTGGGCCAGGCCATGTCCGCCAGATGCAAGCTGGGGATTTGGCTGCACTGAGTCCCAAACTGGCTTCCTTCTGACCGACGACCTACCTTCTCAGATTGGCATGGCTCCTGATCACACAGGCACTCGCTAGAGACTTGCTGCCTGCAGCCTGTGTAAGAGAGAACTGTCTCTTGCTTGCTTTAATCGAAGCAGACTTCCCAGGGAGGGCTCCCCAGGCTGTACATTTGTGCCTGGAAGTTGTTCTGCACCGTGGGGACTCTCTCTGTCTGCAGGAGTGGTCCCCGAGAGGTGACCTGCCCTTCGGTTCCCCCTAGGTGTGCCCTTTAGTGAAAACAGTATGTCCTGCGTTCCTCAACAGCACAGTTAGACGAAGGGTCTCGATTTCGGTTTAAAAAAAACCCCAGTCGTCATATCTATAATGTAGTCCAGGGCTTTTAAAAATGCCCTTTGTTATGTCCAGAGGCAGAGTGATTAACAGCAATCTTCTCAAACTTGAGTCACATGTGAGCCCCCTAGAAAGAAGCCATTTTTTAAAATTCTCAATGATGACTTTTAAATTATTTTACTATATTACTTGATGTATTAAAGTAAAATTGTATACATATATCTCTCTCTTCTGGAATTATAAAATCAAAATCAATTTAAAGTGTAAATGAAAACACAGCTACAAAGCCAGGAAGACGTACAGGTAACATGAACTTAATATAATAATGCTGTTTGGCGAAACACAAATCACCTTTCCAAACACGCATACAGAGCTGATTCTCCAGGTGCGGGTTTGGAGTTTGACGGGCATGTACTGCCACTTCAGAATAAGAGGTGTTTTTTCCCACCACTTTGTTCTGGTTGAGCCTCGGGGCTATAATTTGGCCCGCCCTCAGCGTGAATGCCTTGCGAATCCGCTGTGTCCTCTTCTGAGTGGCCTGGGACAGTTAAGGCAGGGAGTGGCTGGGTAACAACACTAACGCAAACAAGTGCCATTCAAATGTTCCGAACGTGTTCTTTTAAGATGGCCTTCCAGAAGGCCCAGAACCTGTCTATTTAAAGATTATCCCTAAAATGACACACTTAAATTTAGGAAGGGTCTGCAGAGCTCAGGAACCCTGAGAGCACATCCATGAGCCCCTCCCCAGAGGTCAATGAAAGGGCAAGTTTGAGGAATGTTGGAATTCTCAACTAGGAAGAGTCTGGGTGGGCTTTGACCTCCCGAAGGCCAAGTCAGAATGTGGGAAGTTGCTTAATTACTCTGAGCTCCAGTTTTCTGATCGGTAATATAGAAATAACAGTCATCTCTTACCTGGTTATTTTCATGATTAAATGAGACTATACAGAACGTGTCTGGTACATAGTGGCTGTTCAATCATTGTTAGCATGAAAATTTTAAATATAAAATATAGATTTAAAAAGACGAATGCACTTCTTCTCCATTTTTTAAATCTCTCTCCCCTCCCCTAAGTTAATAACTCTTCTGGGTTCCTTGTGTGTCCTTCCAGAACTTCCTCTGTGAATTTACAAATATGAACCCATTTATATCCATACTTATTTTTTAAAAAATAAATAGGACCACAGTCCACATATTGTTTAAAAAATTAATTGTTCTAACTATGATTCTGTACATCTGAAACTAATATAAATAATATTAAATGTCAACCGGAATTAAAAATTTATATAAATTAATCATTTTATTTAATCATAACAGTATACCTGTTCAACACACACAATTATGTCATAAAATTTTGCATCATTTATTTTATAGACAACACACAAACATCCCAGAACAATTTGGAACATTACAGTTTCATTGATTCATTCACTATCAATCAGAGTCCTATCAAGGAAGAAACTAGAGAATAATTTGAACAGGGAAAGTTCAATGTAACAAATTATTAACTATACCAAGGACTAGGCTGGAAAGAAGTGCTCATATTGAGATTCCTAGGACTGAGACGGGGTTTTCAAGAAGACCCTGCACCCCTCTGCTGCTCAACTGAGATCCAGAGCTGGGAGAGGGCACAGCCACAGCTCCCCTGAAAGGCAAAAAATAATCACTGGGTCAGCCCTCCAGTTTGCAGGGGGAAGTTATCAGGTATCTGACCGGAGGGGGGCGCTGCCGCCCGCTGCGCTCCCGCAGAGCCCGGTGCTAGAGAAGCTGCCGCAGAACGCGCGCGCTTTGAAGAGCTCCGGGAAGCCTTTCTTCAGGCAACGCCTCTCTAGTGCCCTCTCCCGACAAAGTGTAATATGACAGCTGGAGAAGGAAAAGTAGTATTTTAAATATTGGCAATTAGGGCTGAATTTGAAGCGGAGGGGCAATAAATCGACACATGCCCCAAGCACTGAATAGACACCTGGATGCCTGCCACGGGGCGGGGACTGTGCTGCACATTGGCCTCCATACAGATGTTTTTGTTTGCTCATTTCCATTTATTGAGTGCTTACGTTTTGTCACCTCTGTTCTAAGCACTTTTGTGCACAAACTCAATCCTGTTGGGTAGGTGCCATTCCCCTCCTAGACGACATTCCAAATAAAGGAACTGGGACAGAGAGTTAAGTAGCTCACCCAACATCGGCTCGTACGTGGCCGAGCCAGGAATCTAACCTGGTTGTCTGTCTCTGTAAGCGCAACTACAGTGCAGCGATGCCTCTCAGCGTGTCTCTGTGGCCCCTAAAATTACCCACCCCCTTCAGGAAGACCCCCCTGGCCACTCCAGCGTCCATGCTGTGGGAAGTGCTGTGACCATGTCTCCATATCAAGGAAAAGAAAAAACGTCCTTCATGCTGTTATCCCAGGGTTCCAAAGAGTCCAGGGTAGGACCTTATTTGGGCCCAGCTTACAGGCCAGTTGAAAATCTGTCCCCTTTCTAGAAGAAGTCTTTGCTTATAAATCTGGGGCTATCTATTCCCTCTCCTTTTCTTCAGTGTGTCTGTGCACATTTTTTAATAAAAATTGAATCATTTATAGTTCTCATACTGAGATTTGCTTTCCTCACTTCACAATAAATTATGGGGTTCACATACATGAGCATCTATATACCAACCTCATCCTTTCCTCCATTCAGATGGACCATTAGTTATTTATCCACAGGCAGACATGCTGATGGTCTCTAAGGTTTTGCTCTAGTGAGCACCTCTGCACCTGTCTCTATGGCTTGCAGGAACCTTTCAGGGGGGCCAAACATCTGATGTACAATTAGCATGGGCCGACACAGTAATTTCAGAAGGATTTAGTTCCAAATCTGTCTCCACTACTCCGGCCTCTTAAGGACAGCGACGTATTATTTTATTTATTTATGTATCTCCCAGCGATGAGTATGGTGCCTGTAACTGCTTGGTTTAAACATTTATTGAATAATTAAATGAACAGATAAAGGGAGGAACGGCAATGGAAAGTTCTGGTGCCCAGAGAGTGAGTCACACAGAGTCTCTCTTCATATTCGGCTGCTCTCTGCCCACAGCTGTGCGGGGGCCTGAGGTCGTCGTGGGCCAGGCAGGGACACGGAGCTGCCCTCCTCTCCCCGGGGCAGGTGACTGTTGCTTACAGCTGACAGCACCAAGCAGCTGAAGCCCCTCTGTTAACTCCTCACTCAGGGGCTAACATCTGTTTGAAATGATCATGCTGCCACCTGCAACCTCTTGATTCTAATTCCTACATTTTTTTCTTTAATTTCCTATGTATTGGTGAAACTGGAACTGTAGGAAAATGCCAAGTGCCTGTGTCAGGTGGGAATTTGCAGGAACACACTCAGTAGGGGTGAGATTTCCTTTTACGTTGGTGTTGCCCTCATCCCCTTACCTCTGGGTGACAGGAACCCCTCCTAGCTCGAGTTCCTGCCCCCGTCCCTCCCATTTTAATCCATTAATCCATCTTGCTTTATCACTGCAATGTGGATTTTCCTAAAACCCTCCTCCTTTCTCTGATCTTTAATGCTCTCCATTCCATAAAAGCTAACCCTCTGAGACTGACATGTAAGGTCTCAGTGGCGTGTCCTCTGTCTTTTGAACAACAGTCTACATCCCTCATCTTCCTAGCCACTCAATCCAGACAGAGGGGTCTATTTTCTCTACACCTTAGATGCACCTGAAATGTACTTCATGCTTCCCTATCTCAGAACTTTCATACACGCCCAGCCCAGGGACCAAACCTGAAACTTAGGCACGCGCCCTGACTGGGAATCGAACCTGGCAAACTTTCTCTTTGCGGGGCCGTTGCCCAATCCACTGAGCCACCCCGGTCGGAGCGTATGTCAAACTCTTGACTGTGCACTTAGTCTGGGTGAGTCTCGAGTTTTCTCCACCCGTGTGAACCCTTCAGGATTCAGCCAAGTCCTTCCCAGGTGGGAAACTTTCAAACCTGCTGCAGGGGCCATGTGCTCGCTCTCTGAGGGACTGAGTGAGCCTCGCTTCTTCCGTCTTTTATCCAGTCGGTCTGGACTCCCCGACTAGCGTTGTGGTCTGGAGCATTTTTCCATCTCTCCACGCGCTCCGTGCGTGTTCTTAGTTTTATCTCCGCAAACACAGGGTCAGTTCTGGGAGGCAGACGCGTGTCTGCTCCGGGGCTGCATGCAGGAAGCCGTCCATCAGCACAGGCTCGAGAGGATTAACCTTGGGTTTCTCCGGAATCTCTAAGATGAGAACTGGGCCGTCGTCCCTTAAACTGTAAATTTAACATTTTTCTTCTTTTCTTCTTTTAGCCATACTTCCCATTGCCTCCAGCTGCTGCACCGAGGTCTCCCAGCATATCTCCCGAAGGCTTCTGGAGAGAGTGAATGTCTGTCGCATCCAGAGAGCTGATGGGGACTGTGACTTGGCAGCCGTCATGTGAGTGTTGGTCGGTCCTCCGGGAGGTCCATACCTGAACAGTGATCATTTCGCGGAAAGGCTCCGCCTGATACACCACATGCAAATGTTCACTGAAGCGGGGAGGGGACAGTCCACACTGCACCCCCCCACCTCTCGGGGTGATGCTGGTTCCCTGTACCTGAACTAGGGTGTCCAGACCCCCCTCACCCCCTGCTGCCCTCACCACAGGGCTGAGATCAGGGCTACTCGCCTTCAGTCACTGAGCAAGGCGCACAAATTTCCCAAAGAAAACAATGGACTTTCTGAGTGAAAAACAAACAAACATAAAACCAGAAGGTGACTGTTCTATGTCTTGGCTCCGGCAGTAAGTTTTCCCAGCAAGCGTGTGGGGCGGTGTCCTTTTCACTCCTGAATTCATCCAGGGTGTGTGTGAGGTCAAACAGAAGTGCAGAGGCTACTGCACCTGTCACAACTGCCACGTGCCATCAAGCACAGACACCTTCCTTTGCTCTCCATCCAGGGCTGTCGGCTCGTGGTGAACCCTCTCACTCTGTCCCACCTCCACCCTTGGCTTGGTCATTGAAACTGTAGACTTAGGTGTACTTGGTGTCTCCATGGAGATGGCAGAATCTGAAATGCATTGGCGTTTTGCAAATCTGGATGCTGACGTCAATGCCCGTGAGGAAGGCACATGTGAGCCACATCCCTCAGGAGGAAGATGTGACAGGGAGCTCACAGAGTGCACCAGGTGTTGGGGGGTCGGGGATGCAGGCTGTGAACGAATTCATAAGGAGAAGAAAGTGCAGAGAGTAAAGATTTCGTTCACTCTCCAAAAGAAGAGAAGGGCGTGGTGGGGAGAGAGACACCAGCACTGAGGGGTGGGGGCTTTGGGCTTCTATCGGGTTAAATCGGATTTACAAAGGGTGGGGTTGCTGCTGCATGGCCCCTGGCTGCCGGCGGGGAACTGAGGCTGCAGTTTGCTCCGATGTTATCCTCCGCCTGTGGCTGTAGGGAGAGGTCAGTCCTGTTCCTGCTTCCAGCCATTTCCACTCCTGGGGACGTAAGCCCAGAAAAGTAAAGTGACCGTCACGTGTAACCAAGGTCACAGGCCTGCTGGGCAAATGATGCCACAATCGCAAATGGCGCTGGCTGTGTCCTTTCGCCCAGTGGCATGCAGCTAGTGAACAGCTTGGTCTGGAGCACTGTGCCCTTCCCGGTCTCGCATGAGCGATGGTGGGACCCACCATGCAGTGCTCCCCCACTCGCTGCCGCGCTCCAGCCGCAGCTGGGTCCAGGGGCTGCTGAAAGGTGGGTAAGGCAGCGGCCGTGGGAGATGGACCACAACATGACTCAGGACAGTGAAGCTCTCTTCCGTTTATTGCAAGTACAAGCAGGTTTTATATTTTCATTTTGGGCAGTGATTAACATTTGTGGTTAGGTGAAGCATGAAATTTTCTACCTGGAATCAGACTATTAGAAGTAGCTGTAAGTACAGAGTTTGAATGCCTTGTTGTTTATTAAAGTGCTCAGAATTTGTCACGGGGCAAAAGGATACGCTAGATTGAGTAGAGGTTATAGGAAATTATTATAAGGCCTTGGTGATGTCTAACTTAGCTATGTATCTTTTCTGTCTAAGATGTTTCTCTGTGTAATATGGACTCTGACTCCCTGGTAATTGTTTCTACATACTTAGTTTGTAATAGCTAACCAGCTTCTCTTATTTCTTTGCCTAATTCTAATTGGTATATATTCCTATTCAAAGTAAAGGAGGGGCTGTTACTCCAACAACTTTTAGACATTCAGGAGGTATTTCTTTCTTTTCTTTTTTATTTATCTTTAGAAGGGAAGGGAAAGAGAGAGGGAGAGAAATATCAATGTACGGTTGCTTCTTGTGCATCCCCTGCTGGGAACCAGCCTGCAACCCAGGCATGTGACCTGGGGTTGTGGTTCACAGGCCCATGCTCGATCCACTGAGCTACACCAGCCAGGACCATTCAGGGGCTATTTCATTAGGGGGGATTTTGTTCTCTGGTCAAGGAATTATTTTGTACAACTTCATTGGAATTATGCAAATCAATGAACCTGAAATACAGGTGTCTAACAATCCTACCATTTTGATCACACCTTTTGATCACATGAGTTCCTAACCTTTTGATCACATGAGTTCTTATATGGGAACAGTAGGGGATAATTTCTTACTCAGGTTTATAAACACCTTGTTTATACAATTTGGGGGGCATGATTCAATGGTCTGGGGAGAACTAGTTGTCCCTTCAGAATTTTCCTCAAAGTCAATCATTGACTCACTTCAAGCCTCTTTCTCCTCCTGGCCTGTTCCTATGGGAATCAGGGTACAACGTAAGACCATGAATAACATCAGCAAGGAAGGTACTAAGAGCAGTCCCCCCAAAATTACCGCCCCCTCTTTGCATGCCACATTCTCTTCCATAAAGATGGATTCCTTGAATTCCTTCTTTCCACATCTGGACCTTGTCAGACAACGTGGTTGGAAGAGGACATGGCAACTCGAGCACGTCGGGCATCGCATTGCGTGCTGCTCCTAACACCGCCGACCGCTCCGGATGCGGCTTATGGAGCCAGACTCTGCCAGCGAGCCCTTCAGCGTGCCCCTCTGCGGGCCACCCAGGCCTGTTGCTCATCCCCGAGTTCCTGAGTCACTGGGGAACCTCCTTATTTACCCAGTGAATTCAGTGCACAGTCACTGATTCGAGATTAGGTACCATACTACATGCTGGGGACGCACCAGTGACAAAACAGACTCTGCCCTCCAGTTTGGGGGCAACTTCTCTCGCAAGTCCCCCTGGTACCACGGACATGAGAATGAATAATGACCGAGACATGCTGGATCTGTTTGGGGAGGAGGAGTGGGCTGTGGCCAGTTTCTCAGGGGAGACAAAGGCCAGCAGTGGCCAGTTTTTCTGAGGAGAAAAAGGCCTGGAGCGCCTTTCTCCATAGCCTTTTATTGGGTTGTAATACACAAGAATACAGGGCGGCAAGGATCAAACAGTAAATCACATTTCAAAGAGATCTGAGGGCTTCAAAGTCTGAGTCAGTGTCTATCAGGAAGAGAGTTGCGGAAACTTTGGGAGACAAACTCATTTCCTCTCGGACCCTTATCATATGAATGAAAGCACTCTTAGCAGAGCAGATTTCACAGGTTTATCAGCAAGTCTTTGTGATGCCAGATTTTTTCCCCAGGACACACTCTAGCAAGGCAAGGAGCTGCACCCCTCCCCAACAGGTATTCAGGCTTAAGGGGATTAGAGCCAGGAAGCACCTCTCCCAGAAGACATGTGGACTCAGGCATTGTCAAAGCTGGGGGCGAGAGTCCATTGCTCTTTGTTGCAGCCCCCCCCCCACGCCAGTCCTTCCATGAAGGCCTCCCAAGTGATCGAGTCTGGCTTAGGTTGCCCCCCAATGTGAGGGGTCTTACCCGTCATTGACTTCCGACCAAGCTCTGGGGGCAGGGAGAGGAACTGAGGCAGCGTTTGCTACCAGAGACAGGCTTTGTCTCCTGAGGCTGGCATTCCAAAGGTCGTCTCTCGCCCTTAGCCACAAGGGGTAGAGACACAATTCCTAAAATCAGTCAGAGCAGTCTGCAACACTCCAGGTGTCCAGGAGCATCTCCCTGGCTGGGTCCTGTGCGCCACCCTCTGAGAGTTAGAGTGCATTTCCCCCCTTTTCAGAGGAAGCCAAAGTTACCCAGCTTCGAGACCCCCTGCTCCAAGACCAGGCTCTTAGAAGTACAGAGGAAGCATTTGTGAGGTGTCTCTGATAGACTTCCCTCAGGGCGGGGGCCGCAAAGGCCCCGACATTTGTGGCTGTGAACGTGTGAGTGTGTTTCTGGGGAGAAGGGCCACGGATTTCCACGAGAGGCTGGCCACGTGGGGGAAGGGAGCAGACCGAGTACTTTTTTCGCAGCCTCTCCTGAGTTCACGCCACCACGGGGGCTCCATGCATCAGCTCGGGTGCCTCCCGAGGGCTGCTTCAAGTGACCATGTCCTTTGACAAACTTCAGCGTATGCCCGGCCACAATTCTATCAGGTTTTTAAAATATAATCTTCCTAAATAGTGTTGGTGGTAGTTGGAGAGTGAAAATTCATAGGCCGTTTGCAGATAGACAGTGCTCTGGAAAACTAGAAACTGGACGTTTCCAGTGTGTGTGAGTAGAGCACATGCTGGGATCTTCAGGGGACACTGTTGGTGACAGTAGTGTCAGAGAAGTTTCCTGGGGATAAGCAGGTGCACGATAGAGACTTGCGAGCTACAGAAGCAGCGGTTTTGTCCTCTGTTAGGATGCCCCGCCTCTTCCAAGCGGATGTGGCAACTCCAGCACGTCGGGCATTGCATCATGTGCTGCTCCTCACACCCCTGACTGCTCGGACACAGCTTATGGAGCCAGACTCTGCCAGCCAGCCCTTTGCGTTGGCTTGATTGTGCCGAAGCTCATTCAAACCTTTCCCAGCTGGTCCCCCCATTTCAGGAGTCCCCCACGAGCTGACGATCCCGAGGGTCACCTGGGGAAAGAGCAGCTCCCTCTGCCTCTCCCCACCCTTCCCGCGACAGGATTTCTGTTTACCCAGACCCAGAACTCGTGCGTATGTGGAGCCAACAGGATCTGCAACATTCATTTAATAAAAACTGGATGGTATCTGATGAGGGGTCAAAAGTCGTAATGTTTTTTGTAACAAGAAAGTCTTCTAGTTACTGGAAACTGGGAATGGGGTTTGTCACCCCACAATCAGATTCTCACACAGAAAAAGGAGACAAATTCTGAGATGCGGTGTAGACCTATAGTGCATTAAAATGTTAACAAAAACCTAGAATACTTCAGTTGATCATTTCGTTGGAAACCAAATGGTCCTTATTTTGAACAATTTTCACTTCGTATCTACAACTAATTCCTGAACTCCTACGGTGAACGAGACCTTCTCCAGACACCTGCAGACTCCTCCTCCCTCAAAGAATGACACCCCAGGAAAAGGAGAGAGTTTGAGGCACGTACTCGAATAAAAGACGGAGTCAGCCAAGTGCCAGGAGAGGGACCAGGGACAGGGCCATGGGGACTCAGAGGGGAAAGGGGGCGCTCAGCTGAGCGGGTCTAGAAAACTTGACTGAGGAGGGGAGGGCATGGCTGAGACGGGCAGCGAGGGCTGAGTCGGTTTTGTCGGATGAAGCCTGGGGTCCAGAAAGAGAATTGTTTTCACTTGGTTTATTACCTCCCCCTGCTTCTCCCCTCCTCCCCCCTCCTCCCCTTCTCCTCTTCCTCCCCCAGTCCCTTCTCCTTCTTCCTTTAGGACTTTCTGCTGCCAGGGAGCCACAGGCCACAGCGTAGTAAAGCTTTGACCTCATGGTGTTCAGTTTCAGGGTTCAGTCCGTAAGAATCCACCGTGTCTGAAAGTGGGAACTGCCGGTGAGTCACCAAGTGTTTGCTTGTCCTTTCCACCAGTGATTTTCTTTCATTCTCTTTTCGGCAGCCTGCACTTCAAGCGCAGAAGAATCTGCGTCAGCCCACACAGTCGCACTGTTAAGCAGTGGATGAAAGATCAAGCAGGCAAGAGAAATGCCAAAGGCCACATCTGCCGCAAGAGGAGACACCACAACAAAAGGAGCGGTAACTCGGCCCCTCGTCGGGGGGACAAAGAACAGGGCCACGGAGCTCCTTCTCCGACACAGCAGCCCAGATGACCCCGTGAACACCTTCCTGACGTGAGCGTGGCCAAGCTGGTTATAAGTTTATCATGTGAAAGTTCCTTCTTGGGAGCCCACGGGGCCAAACAAAACAATGTTTGTTGAAAGACACAATGACACAGCAGGCAAAGGTAGCTGATAATACACTGAACTGAAAAATGAAATGAGGACCTAATACTTATCTTCACATAGCATTTTAAGAGCACAGGATACAGATACAGTTTCTTCAGCTTGGTCACAGTGAAGTTTTCCAAGCCTACAGAGAAGTGGAAAGGGCGGTACAATGATGCCTGTTTGTCATCCAGATGAATCATTGTTCATGTTTTGCCCACTCGTTTTCTCTCTCTCTCTCTGTATGTATATAAAACATTATATAGAAGTATATACATTTTTTGCTAAACTACTGGAAATTAAGTTGCAAACATCACGATACTTCACTTCTACATTTCTTTTTACTGTTACAACCAGTGTTCCTCAAGAATAAAGACATTTTCTATATAATCACATGATCAGCTTTATACGTAAAAAAAATTACAGTTTCAGACCAATATATGCCACATTCAAATTCGCCCAGCTATTCCCGAAGTATTTTATATAGTTTTTTCAATCACTCAATCAAGGTGTACATATTGCAATTAATTATTATATTTCTTTAGTATCTTTTAATCTAAGAAAGTCTCTCTGCTTTTTTTCTTTCTTCCCATGGCAAAGATTTTTTCAAAGAAGTCTGTGGGTTTGTCTGTTCCCCATGAGCGCACTGAGGTTCAACATTTTCAGTAAGAACGCTTCCTGTGTGAGTCTGTGTATTCTTGTTGCATTATTTGGAGTTATAAACATTGCAGCTCATTTTCTATGTGAAGTTTTAGCTGAATATCGCTTTAAAATACCTAGTTTGAATATTGATAACTGATCGATAAATTCCAATACTAAAAACAAAAGGCCTGCTGCGTTCCAGGAGCCTCCCCCCACCCCCAGTCAGTCCTTAGAGCTTTGGGAGGGCGGGGGGGGGAGAGCGGGTCTGGAAGGGGGTCCCAGACCGGATGACAATGTTACACTCTCCCTGAGCAAGGAGCCCACCTCTCTGAACTGCTGACCACCTTCCCCACACCCGGTGGGCCAACCCTTTCTTAGCTTCCTTTCCCACAGACGGTTCGGAGGTAGAGTCAGACCTGGTTTCATCAGCAGCTAATAGGTGTCAGGAGAGCGTCTCCACTTAGCCAGGTGCCAGGTGGCCTGTCCCTCTCCCTGCTGGCCGGTCCCAGGCAGTGGTGTCGCCAGGATGACTTGAAAGTGTGAGAAGGGACACACAGAGGTGCTGAGCCTGATACAATTTAAAGTATCACCAAGCACCCTTTGTCTAACATCAACAACAACTCAGCAGGTGATTTACCTACTCTCACCAATAATGCTGTGATTTATTGCTATCTCCACTTTTTGGATAAGGAAACCTGGGTCTCGTAGGCATTAAATACTTTGCCTAAGGTCACACAGTAAGTGGCCAAGATAAGCCTTGTGGCCAGGTCTCCAGCCGCTTCCTGCTCTCTCCTCAGGCCCAGCAGAGAGCCCTGGATGGTGCGGGCCCAGAGGTGGGGCAGAGGGAGAGGAATTCAGATCAAGATCTGCGCACCTGGCGCTTCCCAGGGGCCTAGCGGGTGCCTGCTGGCAGGTCTGCCTAAGACGGAAAGCGCACCACACAGCCACGGGCATTGAGGGTGCCCGCACCGCAGTCACCAGCCTCAAGGATCACAGCAGGCCCCAACCTGTCTCTACCGAGTTTCTCAACCTCAAGCAGCAGAGAGCATTGCGTGCTGTTTGTCACCTTTGTTTTGCAAACTCTGCCTCATCAGGTTCTTCAACTTAAAGTCAGATTATGTAAAAAACTCAGCATTCTTTCACTCAACCCCATTAAGCTTCTTTCTATAATAATATGATGGTGATCAGAGGAAAACAGTTTCTCCATGTCTTGGTTGGTTCAGGCTGCTACAACAAAGTACTGGACAGGTGGCTTAGAACAACAAGCATCTATTTCTCCTGGTTCTGGAGGCTGGGAAGCCCTGGGCAGTGGCCTCAGCAGATTCGGGGTCTGGATTAAACCCTCTGCCGGGTTGTAGACAACTGACTTTCGCACTGTGTCCTCACATGGTGGCAAGGACTGGGGATCTCTCTGGCCACCATTTTAAAGATATTTTTAAAGCTCTTAGGTTTTTTTAAAAGATATTATTTATTTAATTTTAGAGAGAGGGGAAGGGAGGGAAACATCAATGCATTGTTTTCTCATGAGCGCCCCCTACTGGGGACCTGGCCAGCAACCCAGGCATGTGTCCTGACCAGGAATCAAGGCACTGACCCTTTGGCTCACAGGCTGGCGCTCCATGCACTGAGCCACACCAGCTGGGACTGTCATCCTTTCTCTAAATCATTAATCCCATTCATGAGTGCCCCACCCTCCACCCTCATGCCCTGAAGACTTCCACCCACAAATACCATGGGGGTTATGATTTCAACAAAGGAGTTTGAGGGGACACAAACATTCAGACCACCGCACTGTCATACAATGGCATCACATTTTGGGGGGGGTGGAGAAAGAGAAGGAGAGAAACATCAGTGTGTGAGAGACACATCACTTGGTTGCTTCTCACATGCCCCTGGCTGCGGACCTGGCCCACAACCCAGGCATGTGCCCTGACTGGGAATCAAACTGGCAACCTTTTGGTTCGCAGGAGGTGCTCAATCCCCTGAACCACACCAGCCACGGCAAATTACAGGTTCTAAAAGCCAAAGAGAGGAAGAGAAACACCAATGTGAGAGGAGAGAAATAGCCATGGGAAGCCTTTTGTATGCACCCTGACTGGGGACTGAACCTGCAGTCTAGGCATGTGTCCTGACCAGGAACCGAACCCTTGACCTTTTGGTTTGCAGGGCGATGCCCAACCAACTGAGCTAAACTGACTAGAGCTATACGCTACATTTTAAATTTTTTATTTTAATTACTTCTGGTCAAGAGGGAAGCATGTATAGACGTGCTGTGCCTCCTTGTGCAACCATAGGGAGAATTACAACCAGAATTCAAAACAAATAACACCCAGAACCATCAGAAAATCGAGCTGTGTGGAAGCCGGACAACCAAGGATGTAAAGAAGCCACATTCGTCTAGACAGGTAGGAGGGCAGAGAGTCACAGAGGTAGACGGAGAGGCGGCAGCAGCAGTGGCGGAATGGATGCTTACATATGGTGGGAAAAAATCAGGAAGGGACACCTTAGAAGCAAGTGGTTCCAGCCCCAGGACAGACCACGGATCCCAGGGGTCCAGCACCAGAAGGGTAAATGCCCACTACCTCTGGCTATGAAAACCAGTGGGGGTTGGGGCAGCAGAAGAAACTGCTGGATTTTTGCTGCTTAAAGGGCCCACACTGACTTAGAACTATGCAAACGCACCCACTCTGGGTTTCATCACCAGGACAGCAGCTGGAAGGGGACCAATCACATAGGGGAAGTGGGTGAAGTGACTGGAAACGGGGTGGGTGCTGGACGAACCTCCTGAAGCTAGACAGCAGCACTGGCCCCTCTCTAAGCCCTCCCTAACCCCCACAGAGCCACAAACTGGTGAAGCAGGTTACCCCACCCTGGCGATTGCCTGAGGCTCCACCCCATACAATTTACAGGTACCTTTTACGGGGAGTCAAAGCAGCTCTCGCTAATGCACAGAAACCAACACAGGGAGGCTGCCGAAATGAGGAGAAAAAGAAATATGGCCCAAATGAAAGAACAGAACAAAACCCCAGGGGAAGAATGAAACAGAGGCAACCAACCTATCAGATACAGAGTCCAAAACACCAGTGATCAGGATGCTCAGAGAACTCACTGAGTATGGCAAATGCTTAAGGGAAGAAATGAAGGTTACACTAAGTGAAATAAAGAAAAATCCACAGGGAACCAACAATAAAGGGAAGGAAAGAGGGATTCAAATCAAGAATTTGGAACAGAAGGAAGAAATAAACATTCAACCAGAACAGAAAGAAAAAAGAATTTTAAAAAAATGAGCATAGGCTTAGGCACCTCTGGGACAACTTTAAACATACCAACACCCACATCATAAAGGTGCCAGAAAAAGAAGAGGAAGAACAGGAAATTGAAAACTTATTTGAACAAATAATGAAAGAAAACTTCTCTAATTTGGTGAAGGAAATAGGCATATAAGCCTAAGAGTCCCAAACAAGACGAATGCCAGGAGGCCCACTCTAAGATGCATCATAATTAAAATGCTAAAAATTAAAGATAAAGAAAGAATCTTAAAAGCAGAAAGAGAAGATTAGTTAGTTACCTACAGGAGAGTTCCCATAAAACTCTCAGCTGATTTCTCAAAAGAAATTTCGCAGGCAAGAAGGAACTGGCAAGAAGTATTCAAAGTGATAAAAAGTAAGGACCTACAACCTAGATGACTCCATCCAGCAAAGCTATCATTTAGAATGGAAGGGCAGATAAAGTGCTTTCCAGGGGAGGAGCTAAAGGAGTTCATCATCACCAAGCCACATCACAGGAAATGTTCAAGGGACTTATCTAAGAAAAAGAAGATCAAAACCATGAACATTAAAAAGGCAACAAATCCACAACTTCCAACAACTGAATCTCAAATAAACAAACTACACAAACAAGCAGAACAGGAACAGAATCACAGAAATGGAGATCATCTAGAGGGTCATCAGCAGGGAGGGAGAAGAGTGGGGGGAAAGGTGCCGGGATTAAAAAGCAAAAATAATTGGGTAGGAACAAAATAGACCGGGGGGGGGGGGTGAAGAAGAGTGTAGGAAATGGAGAAGCCAAAGAACTCACACACATGACCCATGGACGTGACCAAAGGTGGGGGGCTGGCTGGAGGGAAAGGGGGTACCAGGTGGAGGGAGGCAAAGTGGAAAACTTGGGGCAACTGTAATCATATAATCAATAAAATAGACTTCAAAAACTTTTGATTTTATAGCAATGCAAATAAGGAAAACCTTCTCTGGACCGTGTGCAGTTCCTGAGGGAAATCCCACTTCACAGGCTCCGACATGAGCCTATCAGAGCATCACTGCGTTACCAACACTGTTTAGGCCCCAGAATTAATCTCAAAGTTTTTTTTAGGTTATATTTGTTAAAGTAATACCGTGAGTAGAGAAAAATCTAAAGTACAGCAGAATTTATAATGAAAATCAACATTTTCTCACTTAGCCTTCCTAATCCCAAATCTACTTATTTGGCACAAACTCTTTTAACTTTTTTTGTTCATTTTTTTTGTTGTTTTAACCACAAGTATTAATGACAGATTGCATAACACAGTTTTAACCCAACTAAAAGGCACAGCTGTGGATTGAAACAGTTTGCTATACAGCCAAAATGAGAGAAAAAAAAACAACACGTAATCTTAGGAACTTTAAATAAGCAAGTCAAGGAGCCAAGTTTACTTCTGGTGGTAAGGGGAGGAAAATGTTTCTTCCCTCAGTCCCCTTCGGACACGTGGGTAGGTCCTAAAACTAAACTGACAAAGAGCAACAAGAGAAAAGCACACACATTTATTCAGTATCAGTTTTGTGTCAGCCAGGAGCCCTCAGAGGGGACTGACGCCCTGAGGAAGCAGACCCGCGTGTCCGACGCTGGTGTGGTGGAGCGTGGGGCGTCCTGGAGGAGCAGGCTGGGCCAGGCGGGAGGAGGTCAGCGACACAGGCTGGGGGGCCTCGGCAGCGCCTGGGTGTGAGGGCTCTTCTCCGTGTCCCTCGGCCTTTGGAGATTAGGATGCTACAATGATACAGCCTTCT